TAGCTATAGTTTAGCTATTACGCAGGGCTATTACCTATTCCTTAAACCTTAGAAGACTAATAGGGCTTTAACTGCAATTACTTACCCTCTTACAATAATCTTTCATAAACTTTGCAGGACCTACACCTTAGTACTGTTAAGGTATTGTGTAGGGCTTTCTTCCTAAACAGTATTCTTCGTGTAGGCTAGAGTCTACTAGTTACACGATATACATTTACAACTAGACGTTATAAAAAGCTAGTAGCGCGTTAACTAAGCGTCTTACAAAGCTACAGTCCTAGGCTAGCAATCCTATAATAGCTTATACCTAGTTATTATCTAAAGGCCTTTTATGCCTTCTTATAACACTAATCTTATATAGTAGAATAACTTACTTACACATAGTAGAAGAGGTAGTTGAGGAGTTTAACGCGCGTCGCGTTAAAAGAGTCTTAGAGCAAGGCTCTATTAATTAAGATTAAATGTAAAATGTAAGGGGCTACGCCTTAAGGAGCTGTTGCATAAATATACTAGAGTCGTATTTAATAAAGAAGAGAACTATAGGTAGTAGGGTTCTAGAGGTCTTTTAGGGGGTAGTAGCTTAGGATAACCTTTAGCTAGGCTTACTTATACAGAATCTAGGTGCTTAGGGGGCTCCTAGATTTTGTAGATAGTGCGCCTTGCGCACGTAACGAAGATATTATTAAGGACTTACTAATCAGGCTCTAGCCTATTACATTTAGAGTAAGATGGTTAGATAAACAATATAGTATTAAAGTCCTATATTATAGTAGAGAATCTAAGAGAACTATAGATCTATAGGGCTATTAGACTTAGAGATAATATAGAAAGTAGAAATGAGATAGGAATGTCTAAACTAGGTTTATACAACGAACACTATATATACAATATATATAATATACTCTACCTACTTGTATTAAGTACACGTTCTAATAGAGGACTAATAGAATAGTCTACTATATATAGTAACTAATTAGAACTTAAACCTTATAACCTTCTAGCCTTAGGAAAGTTACGTACTACTAAAAATACAGCGCACAAAACATACTCTAAAGGCTTTACAGAACATAGTGTTCTACAGCCTTAGATAGTAGAAAAAGACTACAAACAAAGTATATAGAAGATATAAAGTAGGCGTATAGAAAAACCTCTAGAGAATTAGAAGACATATAATTGAGGCACTAAAATATCTACTAAATAAGATTATAACTAGAATACAACTATAATAGACTAGAGCCCTTTACTCTCGTATCCTTGATAATATCTTAGTTCTTTATCCTACTTAACCTAATAGTTACCTAGATAATAAAGTAAGCTTACCTTACTACTCTTTACCTAGGTATATATAGATAGCTACGTAGCTTAGAGTTTAGCTCTCTATTAAATACAACTCTAGTACACCTATATATTAGCTCCTTAAGCGTAGCTTTTTATAAAAACAAAGAACTTATTAGAAACCTCTAGAGCTAATAGGAAATTAACTACGTTACCTCTAGTGTATACTACTTATAAGGACAAGAACTTATAGAGAGAGGATACGCACTAGTTATCGTAGCCCTAAAGAAGCTTCTAGGTAATTAGGTTAATAACTTAACTAATATCTTCTAGGTAGACTAAACTATAATTAAAAAGATTAACAGATAAGACTCTTACTTACTTAGTCTTTAGTTAACAGCATATATTACTTATTAAACTAGTTATTCTAACCTAGTAGACGCTGCTATAAGTAGAGGTTTATAATACACCTACGCTGCTAGTAATAAGAGTAAGGTAGCTTAATTAAAGAAATAAGCACTTCTAAAAATTAATTAACAGAACTATACAGTTACGCTATAAGAACAAGAAATATTTTAAAACCTTAAAAATCCTTTAGCTAACTAAATTATTAAAGAGGGATTTAGTTCTATTACGTAATTGTTGCGTGAAGGAGCATAGGAATGAATGGGAGATAGATCATTGATTTGAGAGCTTTCCTCAGAGGAATGCTTTTTAAGCACTCCTCTTCGGCCCTTCTACTTAGTTCGCGCTAGTGTGCTCAC